GAAGAAATAAAATCCTTTTCAGATAAGCAAATACAGAGGGAATTTGTAACCACCAGACCTGCCTTGCAAGAGCTCCTGAAGAAAGCATTAAATATGGAAAGGAAAAACCATTACTAGCCACTCCAAAAATACACTGAAGTACAAAGGTCAATGATACTATGAAGCAGCTTCATCAACAAGTCTGCAAAATAACCAGCTAGCATCATGATGACAGGATCAATTCACACATAACAATATTAACCTTAAATGTAAATGGGCTAAATGCCCCAATTAAAAGACACAAAATGGCAAGCTGGTTACAGAGTCAAGACCCATTGGTGTGCTGTATTCAAGAGACACATCTCATGTGCAAAGACACACACAGGCTCAAAATAAAGAGATAAAGCAAAATTTACCAAGCAAACGGAAAGCAGAAAAAAGCAGTGGTTATAATCCTAGTTTCTGACAAAACAGACTTTAAACCGACAAAGATCAAAAACAACAAAGAAGGGAATTACAAAAGGTAAAGGGATCAATGCAACAAGAAGAGCTAAGTATCCTAAATATATATGCACCAAATACAGGAGCACCCAGATTCATAAAACAAGTTCTTAGAGACCTACAAAGAGACTTAAGACTCCCACATAATAATAGTGGGATGCTTTAACACTCCATTGTCAACACTAGACAGATGATCAAGACAGAAAATTAACAAGGATATTCAGGACTTGAACTCAGGTCTGGATCAAGTGGACCTAAGAGATATCTACAAAACTCTCCACCCAAAAACAACAGAATATGCATTCTTCTTGGTGCCATATGGCACTTACTCTAAAATAAATTACATAATTGGAAGTAAAACACTCCTCAGCAAATACAAAAGAACTGAAATCATAACGGCCACTCAGACACAGTGCAATCAAACTAGAACTCAAGATTAAGAAACTCACTCAAAACCACACAATTACATAGAAATTGAGCAACCTGTTTCTGAATTACTCCTGGGTAAATAATGAAATTAAGGCAGAAATCAAGAAGTTCTTTGAAACCTATGAGAACAGAGAGACAGTGTAACAGAATCTCTGGAATGCAGCTAAAGCAGTATTAAGAGGGAAATTTATAGTACTAAATACTCACATCAAAAAGCTAGAATGATTTCAAATCAACACCCTAACATCACAACTAAAAGAATGGAGAATCAAGAGCAAACAAACCCTAAAGCTAGCAGAAGACAAGAAATAACCAAGATTGGAGCAAAACTGAAGCAGACAGTGGATAAATGGAACATCCATTTGTTCAAATCTATTTGGATAAATGGAACATCCATTTGTTCCATTTATCCAAATCTATTTGAACAAATGGAACACAACAAACCCTTTAGAAAATCAATGAATCCTGCTGTTTTTTGTGAAAAAATTAATAAAATAGCTGCTAGACTAATAAAGAAGGAAAGAGAGAAGAATTAAATAGACACAGTGATAAAGGGAATATCACCACCAACCCCACAGAAATACAAACAACCATCAGAGAATACTAAAAACACCTCTCTACAAATAAACTAGAATATTTAGAAGAAATTGATAAATTCCTGGACTCATGCACCCTCCCAAGACTGAACCATGAATAGGCTGAATCCCTGAATATACCAATAACAAGTTCTGAAACTGAGGCAGTAATAATCTACCAAACAAGAAAACGCCCAGGACCAAGTGGATTTACTGCTGAATTCTACCAAAAGTACAAAGAAGAACTCGTACCATTCCTTCTGAAACCATTCCAAAAAGCTAAAAAGAAAGGACATCTCCCTAACTCATTTTATGAGGCCAGCATCATCCTGATGCCAAAACCTGGCAGAGATACAAAACCAAAACCAAAAACAAAAACAAAAAACAAAAAACAAAAAAATAAAAGAAAGAAAAAGAAAACTTCAGGCCAAAATTCCTGTTGAACATTGATGCGAAAGTCCTCAATAAAATACTGGCAAACTGAATCCAGCAGCACATCAAAAAGCTTACCCACCACTATTAAGTTGTCTTCATCCCTGTGATGCAAGGCAGTTTCAACATATGCAAATTAATAAACAAAACTCATCACATAAACAGAACCAAAGACAAAAATCACATGATTATCTCAACAGACACAGAAAAGGCCTTTAATAAAATCCAATTTCACTGCATGTTAAAAACTCTCAATAAACTAAATATTAGTGGAACATACCTCAAAAATAATAGGAGCCATTTATGATAAACCCACAGCCAATATCATCCTGAATGGGCAAATACTGGAAGCATTCCACTTTAAAGCCAGCACAAGACAATAATGCCTTCTCTCACCACTCTTATTCAACACAGTATTGGAAGTTCTGGCCAGGGCAATCAGACAAGAGAAAGAAATAAAGGTATCTGAATAGGACGAGAGGAAGTCAAACTGTCTCTGTTTGCAGACGACACAATATTATATTTAGAAAATCTCATTGTCTCAGCCCAAAAGCTTCTTAAGCTGATAAGCAACTTCAGCAGTCTTGGGATACAAAATCAATGTGCAAAAGTCACAAGCCTTCCTATATACCAGCAATAGACAGAGAGCCAAATCATCAATGAACTCCCATTCACAATTAATACAAAGAGAATAAAATACCTAGGAACACAGGGAATACAGCTAACAAGGGAAGCAAAGGACCTCTTCAAGAACTAAAAACACCACTCCAGGAAATCAGAGAACACAAACAAATGGAAAAATATTCCATGCTCATGAACAGAAAGAATCAATATCATGAAAATGGCCATAGTGTCCAAGTAATTTATAGATTCAATGCTATTCCCATTAAACCACCATTGGCATTCCTCACAGAATTAGAAAAAAAAACTACTTTAAAGTTCATATGGAACCAAAATAGGTCCATATAGCCAAGACAATCCTAAGCAAAAAGAATAAAGCTGGAAGCATCACATGATCCAACTTCAAACTGTATTACAAGGTTACAGTAACCAAAACAGTATGGTACTGGTACAAAAATAGACACACACATCAATGGAACAGAATAGAGGTCTCAGAAATAAGACCACACATCTGCAATCACCTTACTTCAACAAACCTGACAAAAACAAGCAATGAAGAAAGGATTTCCTATTTAATAAATGGTGCTGGGAGAACTGGCTAGCTATATGCAGAAAATTGAAACTGGGCCCCTTCCTTATAACTTACACAAAAATTAACTTGAGATGGATTAAAGACTTAAATGTAAAACCCAAAACTATAAAAACCTTAGAAGAAAATCTAGGCTATACTATTCAGGACATAGGCACAGGCAAAGATTTTGTGACAAAAACATCAAAAGCAATTGCAACAAAAGTGAAAATTGACAAACAGGATCTAATTAAACTAAAGAGTTTCTGCACAGCAAAAGAAACTATTATCAGAGTGAACAGACAACCTACAGAATGGCGGAAAATTTTTGCAATCTATCCATCTGATAAAGGTCTAATATCCAGAATGTACAAGATACTTAAACAAATTTACAAGAAAAAGACAAACAACCCCATTTAAAAGTGGCCAAAGGACATGAACAGACACTTCTCAAAAGAAGACATTTATGTCGCCATCAAACGTATGAAAAAAAGCTCAACACCAGTGATCATTAGAGAAATGCAAATCAAAACCACAATGAGATACTATCTCACTCCAGTCAGACGGTGATTATCAAAAAGTCAAGAAATGGCTGGGCGCAGCGGCTCATGGCTGTAATCCCAGAACTTTGGGAGGCCAAGGTGGGGATCACTTGACGTCAGTAATTCAAGATCAGCTAGGCCAACATGGTGAAACCCCATCTCTAATAAAAATGCAAAAATCAGCTGCGCATGGTGGCAGGTGCCTGTGATCCCAGCTACTTGGAAGGCTGAGATGGGAGAATTGCTTGAACCCTAGAGGTGGAGGCTGCAGTGAGCCGAGATCATGCCACTGCACTCCGGCCTAGGTAACAGAGCAAAACTGTGTCTCAAAAAATATAAATTAATAAATAAATAAATAGTCTAGAAACAACAGGTGCTGGTGAAGCTGTGGAAAAATAGGAAAGCTTTTACACTGTTGGTAGGATTGTAAATTAGTTTAACCATTGTGGAAGATGGTATTGTGATTCCTCAAAGATCTGGAACCAGAAATATCACTTGACTCAGCAATCCCATTACTGGGTATATACCCAAAGGAATATAGGAATATAAACCATTCTATTTAATTATTATTCCCAAAAGAATAAAGGAATATAAATCATTCTATTAAAAAGACACACGCATGCATATGTTCATTGCAGCACTATTCACAATAGTGAAGACATTGGATCATCCCAAATGCCCATCAATGATAGAGTAGATAACGAAAGTATGGTAAATATATACCATGAAATACCATGCAGCCATAAAAAGGAATGAGATCATGTCCTTTGCAGGGACATGGATGGAACTGGAAGCCATTATCCTCAGCAAACTAACACAGGAACAGAAAACCAAACACCACATGTTCTCACTTACAAGTGGGAGCTGAACAATGAGAACGCGTGGGCACAAGGAGGGGAATAACGCACACCGGGGCCTGTCAGGGTTGCACTGGGGAGGAGAGCATCAGGAATAATAGCTAATGCATCCTGGGCTTAATAACTAGGTGATGGGTTGATAAGTGTAGCAAACCACCATGGCACACGTTTACCTGTGTAACAAACCTGCACATCCTGCACATGTATCCAGGAACGTAAAATTTTAAAAATAAATACATAAAAATAAAAGTCAGGTTAGAAGTTGAGGGGAAGTCAGGCTCAAATGAGGGGAAAACAAGGTGACCAACCTGGAGAACCTAGAAGCATACACGGATTTCATACACATCAAGAATTTGTTAACAGTTATTGGAGAGTTTGAGAACCTGAGGAATATATCACTAATATTTAAAGGTAAAACAAAGATTCTCAGCCTTTCCAGATAAAACTGATTTTATCAGTTAGCTACTGATATGTAACAAGCTTCACCAAGAACTCATTGACTTAAGCCGTAAGCTTTTTTATTTTTCCTGAGTCTATGGGTCTGCTGGGAGATCTTCTCGTTCTGGCTGGGCTCACACAAGCATCTATGATCAGCTGTGGGTCCAGTGGGCAGCTCTGAGGGTCTGAGCCAGGCTTTCTACATACTTTGGGTAAATATCATGGAATACAAGTTTACAATACTATCGTAGTCCATTTTCGGCTGCATAACAGAATACCACAAAGTGCGTAATTTACAATGAATAGAACTTTGTTTGGCTCACGGTTCTGGAGGCTAGGCAGTCCAGAGGCACAACACCTGCATCTGCTCAGCCAACTGGTGAGGACCTTCCTGTTGCATCTTCCCTTAGTGGAAAGCAGAAAACAGAAGGACAAGTAAACATGGGAGACAGTGAGAAAATCGGGCTGAACCCATTCTTTTATCAAGAAACTACTCCTGTGGTAACTAACGCACTCCCAGGATAATGTCATTAATCCCTTCATGACAGTGGAGTCCCCATTGCCTAATCATCCCTTAAAGTCCCCGCATCTTAGGGCCAGGTGCAGTGGCTCACATCTGTAATCCCAGCACTCTAGGAGTGTGAGGTGGGTGGATCACGAGGTCAGGAGATCGAGACCATCCTGGCTAACACAGTGAAACCCCTTCTACTAAAAATACAAAAAATTAGCCAGGCATGGTGGCGGGCGCCTGTAGTCCTAGCTACTCTGGATGCTGAGGCAGGAGAATGGCGTGAACCCAGGAGGCGGAGGTTGCAGTGAGCAGAGATTGCGCCACTGCACTCCAGCCTGGGCAACAGAGCAAGACTCTGTCTCAAAAAATAATAATAGTAAATTTTAAAAGTACCCACCTCTTAATACTTTACAATCACAATTAAATTTCAACATGAGTTTTGGAGTAGACAATCAAACCACAGCAGATACCTTTTGATCTTAACTGTTACATCATAAAACACAAGTTACTATTATTTATTACTAAAGTCGCAATCTATGGGAAGTATAATGGTTAGATTCTGTCTGTATGGTCACTCCAACCATTATTATACTGTCAGAATAGCCATCAACAGCAGTCACTCTTGCCAACACTAATTTATTTCTCTCAGTTAATAACTCTTATTTAAATGTTAGCTTCAAAATAACTTTGACCTTTTTCTAGGAACTAGCTGTTTGTCCAAAAATAATCATTTCTTTTTATATATACTCCCTTTTGCCCAAATTGTCCTTTTTGTTGTCACATAAACTGTGATTCAAAATGTTCTTACTTTCTAAATTGACATTCACTCTCAGTCCTAAATAATATTTCAGCAAATGTAACAATAGCAACAAATCACTAGCATTTACTGAGTGCCTACTATGTACCAGGCACTGTCTTAGGTGCTATACATAAACTAACTCTTTCAATCTTCACAGTAACCATTTTCTGCAGACAAAGAACCTGGGTACCCAAAGGATAAGTGACTCACCCAAGGTCACTCAGACAATACATGAGCTGTGATTCAAACCCCAGTAGTCTGACATAGAACCCATGTTTCTAATCAATACACTATTGCCTCTGTAATGTTGAATAAATTATAGTCAATACAATTTTTATTTTTTAATTGTTATGAAGTTATTTCTTTATTAATGGAAAGTTAAATATATGTACAGCCATGTGGTTAAAAAATACAAGATTTGTGATCACTTAGAAATTCAAAAACTGCTGACTTGGCTAATCAAAGAGAATATTAATTCATTTCATTTGCCTTATGCAGATATCACTGTAGGCAAAATACAAATTATTTAGTGTAACAGAATCCAATCTCTAGCTATAATAAACTGTAACTTTGTTTCTGCAACACTGCTCGAATTGACTCTGATCAAACATTTTTCAGTTGTGTGGTGTTGTTAAGTTTGGACGTTATAACAAATTGAACTAAAAATGATATAAGTTGGGGAAAAAAGGAGCTACAGTATGAGAAGGTACAGTTTTTATCAATAGTTCCACACCAGCATCTAATTAAGATGGAAATTTATCCTTTAAAAGAATGAGTTAATCGATTAAAAATTAATGTGGGAGGTGAACAAGTGCCACTGAGTCAGAACGTTGGGTGTGGGAAGAATACATTGCAGCAAATTAACCTTTGAGAGAAGGAAAGTATGTGTGTGATAAATGCATATAAAAATATAAAACATACATAGTTTTTTTAAAAAAACAAAACTCGCAAAGTGATCATTTGAAAACTCATTTGCAAATAAATGAGAAAAAATATTTGGGGGAAGAAACATCAATAAAATTATTAGCACTATCAAATAACTGGTTTTTCATATAAAAAGGATATTAAGAAAACTGAGGATGGTGCATATATTGTTACAAGCTTAAAATAAGATTTTTAAATATAATTTTTTTTTTTCAGAGACGGAGTCTTGCTCTGTTGCCCAGGCGGGAGTGCAGTGGCACGATCTTGGCTCACTGCAACCTCCACCTCCCGGGTTCAAACAATTCTCCTGCCTCAACCTCCCAAGTAGCTGGGACTACAGGTGCATGCTGCCATGCCCAGCTAATTTTTTGTATTTTAGTAGAGATGGGGTTTCACCATGTTGCCCAGGCTGGTCTCGAACTCCTGAGCTCAGGCAATCCAACCGCCTCGGCCTCTCAAAGACCTGGGATTACAGGTGTGAGCCACTGCACCCAGAATTTTTGAGATGGAGTCGCGCTCTGTCACCCAGGCTGAAGTGTAGTGTTGCAATCTCAGCTCACTACAACCTCCCTCTCCAGGGTCCAAGCTATGCTGCCTCAGCCCCACTAGTAGCTAGGATTATAGGTGCCCGCCACCACGCCCAGCTAATTTTTTTGTATTTTTAGTAGAGATGGGGTTTTGCCACGTTAACGAGGCTGGTCTCCAACTCCTGACCTCAGGTGATCCGCCCACCTCGGCCTCCCAAAGTGCTGGGATTACAGGTGTGAGCCACTGTGCCCAGCCTATTTTTATATAATTGTTTAAACAAGCTTCTGTTACAGTTTAACACATATATGAAGACATTATAAATACTATCTATATATTTCAATGAGTAATCAAAAAGTGGTAGGAGGAGAGTGAGGATCAAAAAACTGTCTATTGGGTACTATGCTTATTACCTTGGGGACAAAATAATCTGTACACCCAACCCCCATGACATGCAATTAACCTATATAACCTGCACATGTATCCCTGAACCTGAAATAAAAGTTAAAAAAATAATAATAAACTGGAACATCTACGTAACCATCACCAAAGGTAATGGCGATGGCCCTTAACACCACAGCATAGCTTGACCACTGCTGCTGGAACATTCTCACACTTGTCTTTTGGTACAACATATACCCATTTCTTTTGGGAATGGAATTGCTGGAGCATTAAAAAAAATATGTGTAGTCACTTGCATGGAGACTACCAAAGTGTTTTCCAAAGCAATTGTACTGATTTACACTCTATCCACAGAATCTGAGAGTCTCTGTTGCCCTTATTCAGATGTCATTTTGATTTTAACTAAATGACAACTTGATCACACCACGTAGTAATAATCATAGGCAGTTATTACTTACATTGGTCTTTGACATCATCTATTCACCAACTGGTATGAAAGTATTTCATATTATAAGAACTTATATAACCATATTAGTGCAAAGGTGCTGAATATAAGCCTTGCCTTCCACTATAATGATGTCAAATGACTTTCAAATATATCTCACATTTTAGCTCAACGCATTCCAAGCTATCCTTCCCAGTTTCATCAGCACCCTCATCAAGCAGAAATTCAAATGTTTCCTCCTGCTTCCCCTACTATGTTCACAACTTCACCCTTTCACTATCTTCCTGTTGAGTTTTTCTTTAACATTCGTCACACGAGGCTCCTCCACCACCTGTGTATCACATGTGGTGACCCAGCTCTCCTGAACCACACTCTATCACCTGTCACTCATGTACTCATTGGCTCCAACAATAGCCACTTGCGCAACATTTACCATGTGCTTGTTACCAGGCTGGCACTAAGGACAAAGGTGAACAAAGCATGGACCCTGTCCTCGAGGAGCTCACAGGAAGAAACAGACATGTCAATAAACAAGTGCAATCTGTTTTAATAAGCATAACTAGAAAAGTGGAAAAATAGATGGACATAACACAGGCATAAGAAAGCAAGGGGTCAATTTGCCTGACAAGAAAAGACAACAGATAGAACTTTGCTCGGAATCTCCAAAGCTAAGCAGAGTATTCCAGGAAAGGAGGTGGGGAGCAGGCAGGACAGCAGGGCCACAGGAGCACTCCCAACAAGACCATCTCAGTCCTATACAGACCTAGGAACTCAGTACCAGATTTCACAAGCAGCACCCTGACAGCACCAGGGAGGCAGGCAGCTACGGAAAGGGGGTTGGGGCTTGCAGGGGACTGCTCAGGGTACATTTTCTGGTTGCCTCTTTCACTCTGAGTGCAGGCCCCCATCTGCACCATGCCCTTCCTGCCCAGCCCCTCTTTCCCCTCCACCCTCACATCAGGAGTAGCCTTGTCAAGGGCTCCTTTACTGCTCAGCCCTCTCACGGGAGCTGCCATGGCCGCTGCCTGACTCTGAAAAACCTCTGAAGCCTTCCTTTTCTCCTCGTACTCTAGTCCTACTAGAAAGGCTTAACAGTCACCAACAGTGAATCTCCAAACTAATTATCCAACCTTGCCTACATTTTCTCTGTCAAGTCACTTCCCCAAAGCCCCAAAGACTTGAAGTGATCTGCTAATTCCAAAGCTCCTAAGAAATAAAGAAAGACTTCTGCTATCTCGGACTCTCCACAGCCTGCTGAACTATTTTAAAAATTAATCAATCCGTAATGCATGTATGAAGAACCTTCTGCCTAAAGCACACAGATTGCAGGGGGAGCGTTTCACAGAATGGACCCAAAGCTGTGTGCTATGGTGAGAGAAGGGCATGCTGTCATTCCCGCAAAATCCCAGATTTCACAAGCCTACAGTCTGATTAGGAGAACAGACATGAATCAGAGTTCCAGAAATAAATAGCAAATTACAACTAGGATAAATGCTCCAAAGGAAGCATCCATGGTGCTAACAGTGGACAGGGAGGGGATGACTCAGAGAGGAGGCAAGGGTGACCATGTGAGGGTGGGGTAGGGAGTGAGCCATGAGAGGAGCCCTCCACCAGGGAGGAGCAAGGATAATGCCAACATGGCAGAAGACAGATGGCATCTTCCAGAAAGGGAAATTAGGTGAATGTGATCAAAATGAGGCATATTTGGAGGAACATTTCAGGGATGATGATGGAGGACTATATAAAAGTTATGCGGAAGCCTGAAGGCCAACTTGAACATTTAAGATTTGAGTT